TTTGAAAATGTATGATGAATTTCTGTATTAGTAGGTTAATTTTTTAGTCAATTGAGAGTCTAATATCGTGCGAAGGCGATGAAAGCATAGATAAAATGTTACTATTGATGTTCTTCTACTATTCTTGAGGTGTGGGTGTGGGTGTAAGTGAAGAGAAGATAAACACCCACACCCACACCCTTATTTAATAGGACTTGAGGAACTATTGACACCCCGTATATAATAGAACTTGTGGACCCATGAATATCCCCATAGAACACTTAAGGAATCATAGATATCCAGCCTGTGATGCCTCTAAGGAATCCTGAAGATGGTATGTGTAACTTTTCATGATGATCAACTCATAGAGCTAAACTATTTGGAAAGGTTCAGTTCGTTGAAAAGAACTGTTCAAAATAGTTCAGTTTGTGGTAGTGAGCGTTTTGAACAGTTCATCAGTTCTGAACTAGACCTGAACTTGTTTTAGGTAATAAAGATCGAACACAAGTTTTTTTCTAACGTTATATTGATTTAAAATTTCATTGAATATTAATATTTAAATAAATAAAATCTAATTGATCTATTCTGTCTCTCGTCGTTTTTTTTCTTCCCTCTTCTATAATTAAGTTTAACCTCAATATTCGAACTGTATTAGCAGGAAAAAAAATACATAAGATGTACTTTACGGAAGAGAGAAAAAAACATAAGATTATTTTCTTTCCTGCGGGTATCGTTACCATATAACATAAGCACTTTTTTGATCCTCCCTATTATCATTAATCTCTAAACATTTGATTTGATCATAACATCTAAAGATTAGTTCTATCCTAATCGAGATTTTAGAGAATAATTTGAAAATATTCTCAATTGCTATATATATATGTTGACCAAGGTAATTCGATGATTCGTTTCGAGTAGTTTAAATAGATGTTAGATATCTCTAGATCTAGACAATAAATAGATATCATCATTTTGGAATTCTATCCTATATTATATATCGGGTGAACTGATTTTATTTTATTTTCGAGATAAAATTGTGACTATAGAATAAGATTGATAGTTGTCTTATCTTTGAAGACCAAAACGAGATTTTACATATATTATATCTTATTAAAATATTTCAATCGAAAAAAAATTTTTCAATGAAAATAAAAGATAATTCGATGTAAAATAGAAGGTTTTATTTCAATGTAAATGGTTAATTGTTTAAAAAAGTAAAAGGTTATCTCGGTAAATAGTTAACTGTTAGAAATAAAATATCTCTATTAGAAAATGATTTATTTATATTATATTTGAATATTTGGTAAACAATTGATTATCGAAGGGTTCTCTATTCTTTTTCGTCGTTTCGTTATATAATTATAATATTGAAAAAAAAAAGAGTGCGCATGACATCATTTAATAGAAAGAATTCTCTCATTGAAAGATTAGCAAATCAGACTTATTTATCTGATGATAATCGATCAAATTCCGAACAACGATCAAGTCTTGCAGCGTATCCTTGGATGAGATTTTCATTTTTTCATTTAAATAAAAGGACAACAACTTATTCTATATAAATTTTTTTTCAATATATATATATTTATTTTAATTAACATTTTAAATAATCAATTTATATAATAAGATGTTTCTCTTGTTTTTGTTATTATAATTGTAATTCTATTGAATATGGTTATATTATAATATTAATAGATTTATTTATATTAGCGATTCAAAAATAAAATAATATATAGAATTGATGTATTCTATTTAAAAATAAAAATAAATCTCATTTATTATCTTTATTTATGTTTGGTTTATTTCGATTTAATAAAATAGTTTTTTAATATTGAAATGAGGGGAAATAAAAACTGATAAATTATATTCCAAAGATATAATATATTCAAAGAATTATTTTCAATAGAAATCGAAATAACTCGATCGATTTAACATATATTATACGAACGGAAGATATTTATTGAAATAAATCAAACTCTTAAATAAATAAATGAAATCTTATATTAATATAATAAATCATTTCAATAGTTAGACTAATATTGATAGAAATAAGATTTTATTCAATTTATTTATTTTAATTTAATTGAGTTAACCCTTTGTTGGTGTTTTTTTGTTAAAAATCTTTCTATAGTTTTATAATGAAATTATTTTATGTTATTATTGTCGAGATAAGATAATAATTATATATTATTGTTTTTCATTAAAAAAAATCTTTATTTAGAAATAAAATATCATTTATTTTGAAGAATATTCAAATTTTTAAAAAGAATTTTTCAAATTTAACCAAACGCTTTGTATTATTTAAGTAGATTTAAAGAATAGTTTTCATATTCGTAAAATTAAAAAAACCAAACTTTCATATTAAATCTTTATTGTTGTTTTTTCAAAGCTAATTTAAATAGTTAACTATCTCCTTGCATTTGGTCAAAAATTCGTTATTTATTATATAAATCGATTTCTAGCTGAATCTATATTGATTATCTTATTATATATAAAGATTGACAACTAAAATTATTCATTATTTTAATAATCTATCCTAGAAACATTATATTGATCTGAACAATTTTGGCACAATTTATTTCTCTCTACTGAACGATCGCTAATAAATGATTAATATTTTATCCGATTTGAACGTGTTTTGTCGAAAATCTGTTTTTAACTGCTAGATAGAAACGTTCTATAAGATGAAATAATGATAAAATAGTTCGAATTATCGATTCAAAATTTCTAAGAAAATAAATTTAATTGATCCTTATAAAAACGTTTTGAAAATAAGTTTATTTGAATAGGATATTTATCGATATGGTTAAACAAACAAAATTCGAAAATAAAAAATGAAAATATTTTGTTTTTTTTATATTTATTAATATAGAAGTGATGATGTACCTGATTGTTACAATCGAGTTCGTTATATTCCAGATTCTTGTAAAGTATTGTCTGATCTTTGGAAAATAAATAAAGATTTTGTAAGTTAAATAAAAGTATTGATAAGGATGTATCAAAATCATTGAAAGAATTTTGTTTGAGTGATGTTGCACGTTGTTATCGTTCTCCATATAGAACAAATGGTGCTTTATCGATTTTAAATCAAACAATTGATGATTTAATTCAAATACATGATTTTATTGATTCAAAAAGAAAAGAACGGCTTGAACAATTTTAAAAATTTATTGAACAAGCTAGAGATAAACAAGTATTTATTAATTTTATTTCTATTTATTTATTTATTGATTTATTTCTAATATAAGTCAACTATTCGTCAAACAATGACTGAACTAAGAGATCATTATGAAAAAGCTCAACGAAAATTAGAAACAGCTGATGCGAATTTAAAAAAAAATGTTTTAATGATTCTTTAATTTGTTCTACTTCTCATTTCAAAATATAATGTGCCCCATTGTTTTTTTTTTGAATAACTTTTGATAGGAACATCATAGAGATCTTCGGCTTTCACCTTTCAAGAGAGAAGATCCGGAACCTTCCAAAATTCTCGCCAAGGACTTATCCAATTAGCCAATGAAATTTTGATATATTTCGATTGCTTTGGATCTTCTCTTTTGAATGGTGAAAACTGCAGGTCTCTGTGATATTCCTATCAAAAGTTATTTAAAAAACAACGGAGCACAATATATTTTGAAATGGATAATAGTTATTATCGTTAAGAAAAGAAGTTAAAAACACTGCATTTCTAAACGTTTTGCTTTCACTTTACTTATTACAGTTAATAAGATCATTTTTCTTATCGTTCAATATGGGTAAGGTAAATGGATATAGTAAAAAACTAACTTGTGTTGCTTTATTGTTTTTTCGACGAATTTTCTTATATTTTTTGTTCCTAATACAAACAATTGAATGTCAATTATTACGAGTATAAAATGAGTTTTACTTATTTAGAACTCGACAACAAGACTTCTATGATCAATATTCATCATCATACAATGATTCACATTATTGGCATGGAAATAATTCAAATTCATATGATTTTTATGGTTCAACATTCATCTCATACACTTTTACAACAAAATGATTTTACTCAACAAGTTTATCTTAAATATAAACAAGGATGTCTTGATGATAAAAAAAAAAACGTTGATTGTAGACAAAAAAAAGATTATTAGTTTAGTACATATTTACAATATTTCGAGAGAAACAAGCTACTGGTAAAAAAAGATTGAAATTATGTTGCATTGAACGTATAAAAAACGAGTCTTTTAATGACTAAAGAAGAGTCAACATATCTAAAAACAACAACGAAAACTACTCTCCGGTGAAAATCAGAGTCTAAAAAGACTTATATTCTTATTTAAATAGATAATAGGGAATATATCTGTTGCTATAATTTTCAAAAAAAACAAAAATTTTACTCTTTTATGGAGTTTTTTTAATAAATACTATCATTCTTATCTACATGATAAATTTGAAAAGCAATAAAATAATCGTCAATGATTAAAAACACTAAGTTTCACTAATCGGCAAACTTTATTATTTCATAGAAAATATTTATAATCTAAAGTTATGTTGATTTACAAATAAAATACATTTTGTTTTCTGTAATGATCTAATTTCTAGAAAGCGTTAAACTTGATCCTGGTCAATCAATGGAAATGAATACACTCTATCGTTTTTAGTCATTTTTCTTATGTGAAAATTTTAATCGTCATATGTACAATGAATTTAAACAATATGCTGTTGAAGATACTAAAACTGATCATCGACATATAAATGAATTGTTTTTATGCAAAATAATAAGAAAAAAATTGAATATTATTATTTATGTATAGATATGGTGTTGAATGTCTATTTCGATTTTATACATATGGTATAGAAAAACATTTTCGTCAACATGTATTTGAAGATTTTCAACAAGAAACTCTTTGTGATCATGAAGCTGGTAATAAAATAGATTACACAAAAAAAAAAGAAAAGTGTCAATAACAAAAATAATTTTCCTATTTAGGTCAATTATATGGTTTAGAAAAATTCTGGGCATTTCTAAAATATTCTCGACAAAAACCAAAAATCAATCCAAAACTTGAAGAAATTTTAAAAAACTATAAAAATCTTGAAGATTTCCGTGTTGATGGTGCATCATTTCCACAACAATTTTTTCCAACAAAATCAAATTATATTAATTGAAAAACATTTTTTTTTCCTATGATATAAATAATTTCTTTATAGACTGTTCCAGCACCCGAAGCAATTGCTGCTGCAGTAGCAAAGAACAGTGATACATCAAATTCATTAAAACCCAATGGTGAACAATATCTGAACGGTGCTAAACTCTATACACGTTTTGTTTTTCTTTTATTTTGTCTAAAATAAAAAACGGTGCTCATATTTTTTCAAGTGGATTTCGATTTATTTAAAATTATGCATGTATTTTTTTTTGCTTTCAAAGTTTATTGTTATTCAATCTTTTTCTATGTATATATTACATTAGTTTGTTATTGTAGTAGATAGATAGATTAAATAGTGATGCATTTTCTTTTTCTATCGATAGAGATATGAAGAATTTTCATATGGTTTCGTTTTGTTTCTGGAACTATTTGCTAATAAAAACAGAACAACTAAACAAATTTAATTTGATTATGATTATGCATGTTTTTCTTTTAGAAGAAAAAAAAAGACAATGGCTTCATCTCGTTTATTTAATAATATTGGTCAGATATTGAGATAGTATTTTACTTAGATAGAAGAATTTAGTGTTTTAGGAAGAATTGATATTGGTTTAGCTATTGCTGGTGATGTGATTAATTCTATGCTTTATAACGGTAAATATGAAAAGATTAAAAAAAACTTGTTTTCTTTAAATATACTTAAATATATTCTAGTTGATGGTGGTCATCAAGATGTTATTTTTGATCGTTTTCAAGGTGTTAAACTAGATGTTATTGAAGAAGGAACTCATTTTATGACCTCATGGCTTCATAGACCAATTATATTTGATATTCGTACACGACCACGATCTGTTCCATCAATAACAGAAATAAAAGGTATAAAAGCTAGAAGAAAACAGTCAACTTCAGGAGAGAGGTGAACATGAGGAAAATGTAAGCTCGCGAAAAAAAGAAGGTAAATACGATGTCTATTGAAACATCAATGAATGTATATGGCTGAGGTATCTTAAAAAATTTTGCGGCCATCAATGGCGACTCAACTGATCGGTTTACACCTCTATACTCTCATCACTCACCAATCTTAGGATACTTCATAAAACTTAAAATCGGAAGTCTCCGTTATTTTTTCTTCGTATAAATGAAGTATGAATAAATTATATTTTATTATTTTTATTTTAGATTTACAAACAATTAATATAACATTACGTATTCTTCATCGACCAAGAGCTGAGCTTTTACCAAAAAGTTTTTGCAAATTTGGGTTTAGATTATGAAGAACGTGTTTCACCATCGATTATTAATGAAGTTTTAAAATCTGTTGTACTAAGTCTCAAATACTTTTGTTACTATGAATAATTAAACTGATTTTTAGCCTCAATTTGATGCTATTGAATTGATTACACAACGTACACTTATTTCTCAACATGTTAGTGAATTATTAACAGAACGTGGTGCTCAATTTGATTTATTAATTGATGATATTTCAATTGTAAGATACAACAAAAAAGAGTCTCAAGTTGATTACATATAGTTTTTTTCTTTAAATTAGACACATTTAAGTTTTAGACCTGAATTTACAAGTGCTGTTGAATTAAAACAAGTTTTACAACAAGATGTTGAAAAACAACGATTTTTAGTCGAAAAAGTAAATCAATAAGAATAAAATTTGTATGAGTTTGTTTTTTTTGATAAAAAAAACAGACGGAACAAAGTCGTCAAGCAAATGTTATTGCAGCAGAAGGTGATATTCGTGCAGCTGATTTGATTGGCAAAGCTTTAGATGAAGTTGGTGATGGTAAATTTTTGAATATCTTTTATTATCCTGTCTTACTTTGTTTTAATATTCATGTTAAGTTTGATCGAACTTCGACGAATTGAAGCCGCTGAAGGTATTGCAAATCAATTATCAAAATCAAGAAATATCGTCTATTTACCACATGGTCCTCAAATGTTACTTAACATTACTGGTGCTATGCAATAAAAATATTGTTTTTTGTTTTCATAGTAAACCAACGAGATTGATTTAGGAAAATAAAAAGAACATATAAGAGTTTTTTTTGCATGCGTGTGTGTGTGTGTTTATAAACTATTGAGAATACTAAAGCATTGTATTATCCTGTTTTTTGTTCGATTAAAGAAAAAGAAGATCAGATCAACAATTCTCTAGATGATATTAAAGATTCGAGTACGATTGAAATGATGAATTTCGACAATCTCTTTCGATGTTTTATATTAACTCAATCATTTGTACGTGGTCATAGCATACGATTAGGGGGGGGGGGGGGGGAAGAAGAGTGATTTCCGAGGTATGTTCAGATTTCTGAAAAAGGAAATTACAGAAATTTCCGAAGCTTCCATCAACTCGATAACTACATAGCAGAGCATATGAAAATCTTTTAGAAATATTAGAAATTTTAGAAGTTTTAGAAATTTCTGTAATTTCGGAAATTTCGCTACGTATAGAATTTTGGAAATTTCAGAAATTTCGGAAATTATATAATTTTGGGAAATACCGAACAATTTAAAACACAAGTGCTTGAAATTTCCGAAACTTCCAAAATTTCCTTTTTCGGAAGTCTGAACACTGCTGGCAATATCAAAATTTACATCAACAACAGTGATGATGAAAGTGGTGACGAACAATAGACAAAACACGATATAATTATTAGCAAGGATATAACTATTCAAATATTTATGTAGACAGTTTTTGTGTGTAGTAAAAATATATTTATTTCTATTGATCAGAAAATACGTTCAGGATTTATTTACGCAAGAAATAACAGTGAAGGAAATATATATGCTCACAATTGATTACGAGAGAATTAAAAGTTTCAGCTTAGAATATATTCTTCTAAAAAAATTGATGGATAAATGGTTTCTCTTTAACTTTGAAAGACTTTCTCCCTAAGATTTTCCCCCTCCTAAGTAAAAACAAACGAAAGCTATGTACGTGGTTGGGGAAATCCATTTCATTTACAAGAAATTTTTACCTATCGACGTGAAAAAATTGGGGTAAGAGATGAGTGTTTAGAAATTGTACCATCTGAAAATGTACAGGAAAATACTGTTGAAATAATTAAACAAGAAACAAAAAGGTAATCAAAATTATATAAATGCTCGATTTCGTTCATCACTTGCCAATTATTTACCACATTTGGTAAGTGATTAAAATTATTTTAATCATTTAATTAATATTATCTTTTTTCTTTTGTTATATTAATTTAAATAGGTTTCATCTCAAGTAGCTATAGCTCATTTTCAACTTGTTCTATCACGTGATCATGGTTTTAGTCGACGAAGGTTATTTACTGCATTCCCATTAATTAATCAATATCCTATAGATTCAATTCTTCTTGAAAATCCATATTATGGTTTAAGAAAACCGCCAGATCAATCTGGTTCATCATTATTGTATGTTACCAATTTGTATATCATGGGTGAAGTACTTGTTTTAGAAACACTTATGCTACTTCATTGGTGTCAAAAAATGAAATTAACATCAGCTATTCTACATGGTTTTTCTCTTGGTGGACATATGACTTCATTAGCATTTACAAAGTAAGATTCAATTCTATTATTTGATCTATTTAATGCATGGATATACAGTATCTATTATAATTTCAAATAATGATTCAAGTAGAGCACACCATATTACAAAAAGAATATAAATTAAAAACATTGATTATTTGATTCCCAAAGTTAGGATTTTTTTAGACAACCCAAAAGCCTAATTTCTCAGTGTCTAGTACTTGAACTCTCTAGGAGGGTTTTTTATTGAGTAAAAGTTGAATAATTTTGGTAGCCATTGTGTATATATTTATATTTTAGATGGCCTGATCCACCTTCTCGACAATTCTGTGAAAATAAAGCCTCTCAAACATTTTATGATTATTTACGTGAACGAAATCGATCAATAGATTCAAATAAAATTGTTCTCAATCTTATTAAAGATATGATGCGTCTTCTTATGGATGAATTTACATCTTTATATAATTATTCACGTTCAGTTCAATCAAATATATCTGATGCTATGTTTATTGCTTACACACATGATGGTTATGTATTACGTGATGGTATTCCACATATGAATGATGTATGGCCTGGTATTCATATTCGATATACTCCTCATGGACATGTTAGTGCATTTTTATTTAATCAATCAGATTTTCATCATGCTGCTGCTAAAATGTTACAACGACAAGAATCAAATGTAAAACTAAAAAAGCATGTAATCATATCACCAATTTCTGTTACTATTACTACACCTAAAAATTCGTGAAGATATATATTTTTTTCATATAGATATTTTCTCAAAAAGTATCAAATATTTTCTAGTTTTTATGTTATGATTTGAATAATAACTCAGAGAAAAGAAAAGTTTTGATCGAATATAAACTAGATAATATATTAATCGTTTTGTTTTTTAAATATAATTTGTATGACTCTGGTAAAAACATGAGCAAACATTTTTTTGTCCTATTTATCAGCAAATAGATATTGAGAGAACTTCTCCAACTGATATTCTCTGTTCGAGCTCATAAGTAGGACTCATAGTTATGATGAAAACATTAAACATGTTCGTGCTCTTAAGCCTTTCATGATTGTTCTATTAAATTTTCAGCATATTGCAGGATATTAGCAAAAAAAACTGCAATAACGAGTCTCCATTTGAAACTTTCTCCTAATATCAGATCTCATAACAATTATCACATTCTAAAAGTTTTAGCTCAAACGAATGGATCCAAGTCAATCAATCAGACAGTGAGATCAATCACAGATTCTTGCATGTTCATACAAGATCGTACAATTTGATTTCACCATATTGTTTGAATCCTTTACAATAACCCATACAGGTTAGAGTTCTCTTCTTTATAAATTACCATATACCATCCATACGCATACATAGCCAACATTTAAATTTTTGGTAGCATAACTGGATACAGATGTATCTCTATACCTTTACTCAGAATTGGAACTGGTCTTTATCAGTTCTCTTTCTTTTCGCAGATGTGAACGAGAAGGAAAAGAACGGTGTGTGCATTTATATGATCACATCCTTAATATCAAATAAAACTTAGTTATTACTTGAAAAAGAAAATGCATAATGCAAAATAGTTTGTGTTAACAACAGAAGAATCACTTGAATTTTGTATTATAAAAATAACTTTATAAAAAAAAACTATTCTTTTACTTTATTCGTATCTGAGCATTTCAGATATTCACTCCAGAATATTGTGTAGTGAACATGAAGGCACAATAAATAAACTTCATTTCGTATTTTCATATAATTTTAAAATTATTCATAGAAGATCAATGAAGAAATGTATTTCTATATAAAACATACTCTATTGATATTTAATGTTGAGAAGAAACTAAAAATAAACAGAGCGAAAAAGAAAATATTAGTTTTTTTTACGATTGCATTTTAATGTTGATTATTTCAAATAATGAAGATAGATATTTTTATTTGTACTTCAGGGTTTACATTCTTTTTAAGATATAAATAGCCAGTATTGACATAATCTGTAGCTAAAAGATAATAAAACTTCTCTATCATTGAATCACTGTTTATTTGCTTGATATCACAAACAGATTGACAAAAAAAAACAAGTTTTATCAAGTCTAAAATGCTGATATTATATACTGAGGGTGTGGGTGTTGGTGGGTGTGAGTGTGTAAGCATATAATACCTACATCCACACCCATACTCACACTCCACACCCACATTCTTGGTCGGAAGCCCGGTACCGAAAATCTCTGATTGGCTAAACTTCCAGCCTGAAAGAATCTGATTGGTCGAAAACTCGGTATCGAAAACCTCTGATTGACTGAAACTTCCAGCCTGAAAGAATCTGATTGTTTGGATGTCGGATATCGAAAACTTCTGATTGGTTCAAATTTCAGCCTAAAAAACTTTGATTGGTCGAATGCCCGATTTCGAAAACCCTTGATTGGCTGAACTCCCAGCCTGAAAGAATCTGATTGGCTCGGGATGCCTGATATCGAAAAATCCTGATTGGCTGGAATTTCAACTTGAAAAAATCTCATTGCAGATTGCGAGATTCAATTTCTCAGTGATATGCAAGGCAGAGCCCGCACATATACCCGTAATTGGATAGAGTGTCTCTGATAACCCTAGGATCGGCCCGAACATGGCTGGCACCTATCCTGATCAGAGATGTTCATCACGGTGCAACCATCAACACAATCGAACCGCGGC